CTATGTCTGTCTGTCAAATCTCGGGTCTTCCTTTATTGTCTTTTCCTGTAAAATAAAGAGCTCAAAAGTAGGAAGAACTTTGATATAGGTGAGCTTTGTTCAGAACAGCCCCCTTATACATTTCTGCTATTCTAGTAAACAGTGAACTTCTCACACCAACTCTCTGAGATGCCTAAAGATATTGGTATTTGCATACAGCAACTGGTTTAGTTCAACCTCTTAGGAATTCACTTTTAAAGTAACTGGAATGCATTGTTCACAATACCAAAAACATGGATCCAGCCATACTTCCCACCAAAAGAGGACTGAATTTTTAAAAATGTGGTACATATACACAATAGAATATTATGCAGCCATAAAAAAGGACAAAACTATGAATTTTGCAGCAACTTGGATGGACTTAGAGTCCATAATACTGAGTGATCTATCACAGAAACAAAGAATCAAGTATCACATGTTCTCACTCATAAGCGGACCTTGAACAACTATCCTAATACCATAACAAGGGGATTGGCAGTAGTGGGAAACTGCCAGGGGAGGACAGGAGTGGGATTGGCCGTAGTGGGAAACTGCCAGGAGCAAGGAGAGCATACCTCATCAACAAGGGTACCTGCATAATGAACATTTGTATACCTAACACTGAATTATACCCCGCGTCGTTAAAATAAAAAAATAAAGTAGCTGGAATAATTTTAACCCAAGTTCTCCACGTGGCTTGGCTACTGCTTCTAAAATCTTCCCCCATCTTACAGTATGCATCCTAAACTGGCTCCAAACATATTGTATGGCTTTATTAAACAAAAGCATGCCACAATTATTGTTTTCCTCCATCAGTTTACACATAAAGAAATTGCAGTGTTTTAAAACAACATTATTTCAGTAATCATTTCTACTGTATTTTTTTTTTCAAGTATTTTATGCAAGATGTTGTTTGGTTATCGGCGTCTTTCTTCTTTGACAACTCTGTGACTTTGGATATGGATGTCATATTACCAAGTTGTATCATAAAGAGGTTGTTTCATTTCCATATTGAGTTTTCTTGCCTCTTTCAGAAAGGCAATAATAAGGGTCACTGACAGCATGGCAGGGTTAGAAATCCTAAGATTAGAATGATACTCTTCTTTGTAGAACAGAGCAAACGGCCTGGAGAAGTTACAGCAATACAAGACCTAGAAGGAGTATAGTGTATAATTCTCTCTGTGTAGCACCTTTGGGCACAGACGTAAAAGCAATATTTCTTCACTTTCGGTTTTCTGGTAAACCAGTTTTCTAAGGGTTGAAGTCTTGGGCATGGGGAGTGGGAGAAGCCCTGATTTCTGGTACTTGTCTATTGCTGTGTTGCAAATATATGTCAACAATTTCAATATATCAACATTATGTCATTGAATGTGAATTTGGGAAGAGGTGTGCACCACCAGCTCTGTCCAAGCCCATGCAAGCTGGCTGTAACACATGCCGGTTTTTGCAATTCTCCCCAGCTTCAGAGACCCAGCTTAGGTCACTGCTGTGGCTGCATCAAAGTTCAACCTCTCCCTCTGTCTTCTTCCTTCTCCTCTCACCTCAGAAACAGCTGTTGTTCCTGAGAACATGCTCCAATAAACTTCCTGCATAATAATCTGAGTCTCCATTTTCCAGGGACCCCACCTAAGATAAAGAGAAATAGAAAGTTAAGTTCATTATCATCAAAACTTAATAAAAGTCTTCTGTTCCCTCTCCTAAATTAATTAACTAATTGGATCAACTATTGCCTCCACCTGGTTCCCTAATGAATCATAGAATTTACCTTGATATCTTAATAAATGGGCAATTCAGCAGTGTTTTGTATTTTATTCTGTTGGTCTTTATTTAAATCCTTTATCTCAGACCACACATAAACCAGAATCAAATGTGACCGGATATAGACATTAGAGATTCATGGTGAAAATTCCTTTGTTGCCACAAAGAGGGCTATAGCAAAACTGGAAAGACTAAATCTCATATCCAAATATTATTATTATCTTGTTTATCCTATTATGTCACTAAAATTCTCCCATAGCTAACGGTCATAAGTCTGTACACAAAATGAATGCATTTCTTAGCCATTAATGGCACTGGCAAATTCCTTTTTGCCACGTGAGGCTAAAAAGAAGGGACAATATTAATGAATTATAATAGAATAAGGTAGTAAAATAGCGATAGTTTTTAGACCTGGTAAAATTGTAAATTAGGTTAAAATGTGGGTGACAAATGTTGAGTCTAGGCTATTTCCCCAGAAAAACACAACAATTTATATAGTCAATTTTCAATTATCTGCCCAAGGAGAAATAGCAATAATGGCAATTATCCAAAAGAGTAGATAATGAACAAATTCATTTATATTTGACTTTGAAATATTGCTTTGTATTCTAAAACCAACATTTGAATGTAGATGCATTTTGTATTCTGGGAAGTTACAATGCTCCTAACTTAAATACTAAAATTACACTTTAGAAATCACACTGAAGAAAGTAGCATATATTTTTCATCTTGTCTTGTACAAGATATTCCAGCTTTCTGTATTAGTGCTGTGAATAGATGTCACTCTTAGGATAATAAGTTCATTCTAACACAAAGAAGGGTTACATCTATATGTTTTTTAGTTAATATTCTGCATCTATATGTATCTATATGCATCTTACATTATTTCTAAATAAGATTCAAGATATCTAAACTACAATATTTGCCCATGGAAAATTGAGTTGGCTTTATACAAATTTTCCACACACTTTTTTTTGGGGGGGAGGTCCTGGTTTGTTTATTTTTCACTCAGTAAATGCCAAGATGAATATAACAATACCTGGTATAGGGTCTGGCTCATGATAGCATTTAGTAACTTCTTATTTCTTTCATTCCTTGCTTCTTTCCCTGTCTTCATTCAATAATGTTATAGATAAGATGATTCATATTAATGCTTCATACACTTTAATAATGTTTATATTTTACTCCACTCTTTCTTTGCATAGAAGATTCTACAAAAGCAAGGCCTTTTGTTTTAATGCTATTGTAAAATCTTCCAGGTGATATTTTTCCAATGCCAACATTCAATACATATGTAAATTCTTAAGAGCTATCCATGGAAATTATTTTATCAATTTTGAGTGAATATTCAGAACTATAGCATTTTTAAAAATAGAATGAAGTTTTATGCAGACTAAAAACCAACTACATGCTTTCCAGTTTGTGCTTAGTTACCTGATACACTCCCAATATAGAATAACACATTCTTCATATAAGGTAAAAAACAATTATTGCAGTGCTTTTGATTGTTTGCTTTGGGACTCCTTTGCTTTGTATTTGTCTTGATATGTAATTGGTGTTTGATCATATTTGATATGCTCTCCTTTAAAGTTCTGAAGAGTATCTTCAAATGAATGCCAACAAGGTTCCAGAGAGGTGGGTTAAGCAAATGTGTAAGCTGAGTAGACCTAGGTTCAAACACTGGCTCACTCAATAACAGGATGATATTGGACAAGAGAATTCCTCTCTCAAGTTCATGGTTTTCTCATTATTAAAGTGAAGATAATAATATAAAACTAAGAGGATTGTAGTGATGATGACATAATATATATAAGTAAATTAGTGTCTAATGGGCATTCGGTAGTTGTTACAAGTACTAGATAACATTTACTATTACAGATACGAACATCTATGCTTACCTTGTGCAAGCACCATCCTTAGCACTTTCTGTGTAGTGATTCATTTATACCCCATCACAACTCTGTTATTCAGATACTGTTCTCACTATCTTGCACATGAGTCCTAGAGAGGTTAAGTCATAATCAGTGACTGGGTCAATATTTAAACCCAGCTTAATTGATTATCACACAATCATCTGATTGTTATAAAAACAGAGGTTTTTGTTTTGTTGGGGTTTTTTTAGCAGAAACTGGAACAAGCAAATGGATCCAGTGGGACCCAGTTGTACTTCTGCCCATATCCCATGCTGCTACTCTTCACATGTGTCACACTGCTTAAACACCATCCCAAACAAATGTGATTTGTAGTCAGAGGTTTATTTCATATGAGGGCCTATCACATTTCAGCCACTCAGCTTTACCCAGAACTTCTTTCACCACACGCATGGTGAGAAAAAAGCATTATACCTTTCATCATGAAGTTTTATATACATACAGCTTGAAACACAAGGGGCAGATCAATGAAAGGCAACTCTGGTTGATTTCCATCCTGCATTTAAGCAGGTCTGATCAGACTCAGCTCTAGGCAGAGTGGTCATGAGCGAAGGTGAAAGGTCACAAGTGAAAGGCAAGGTGTGCATAAAACAGAATCCCTGCAACTCATAGCTGAGTGTCCTTGCCCAAGCATCTTCAGTCCTCTAGACATGTTTTCATCACTTGGAAAGTGAAAAGGTTGCTCTAGAACTCAGGTAAAAGCTGGCCACCTATGAGCTAACCCTCACCCTCACAGGAGCTTTGGTTTTAACCTTGTTTGAGCTTCTTAAAGTTTCTACTTGTTGTTGTAAATTAGATTCTAAAATATAAAACTTGAGAGATTGACATAGAAAGAAATCTGTTTTTCCCTGAAAATCTGAACTTGTGACACTATTCAGTCTATTTTTCCTTATAGTATCAGTGAAAATCATCAGCTAGACCTGAGCAGTATCTGCCCACCTCAGATGGGACATGTACTCACTAGTTCCCCACAGTCCCCACCATTCCTTAGTTGCACACCCAGTCTACTCCCTCATTTATCCTACTTGCATGCGCTCATAAACATCTGGGTTTGCAATCCTAGGATCAGCTCAAACCCTAAATGAGGTTTGTTTATTCATTCTTTTTTTCATTCAATCAACCTCTATTCAGTGCCTACCCACATGCCATTCTGTGTTTGTACTTATAATCTAAATAAAAATCTTTTTTTTTTGTAGTGACAGAATTCTGTATTCATTTCTCTGAACCCAATTAATTTCCATCACTTCTGAAGTTTTCTCTCTTCTTGGTGTCTACTTAGGGTTCTGCAGATTGCATCTCCTGGCACAAGTTCCTCAAATCTCCTCATCAGACAGATTGAGACCATGCTTGGCGCCCTGTACCTACAATAAGAAGGAGAACACGGCGCACTTGTCTGGCAGGTAGGAGAGGAACGCACGTCTCACTTAAGCAGCTCATTACTAGGAAAAACAACAACCACTCTATGAAATCAGAAATGGACATCTAAAGACTAATGAGTGGAGAGAAAAGTATAGGCTTCTTTTCTTTATTAATATTTACCTGCTATAGCATATAAAATACCCTTGCTATGGAAGCCTTATTTCTGAAAGATACTAGAGGGTGGGAAAAAAAAAACAGAGCTTTAAAATGTGTCTTTTTAAAAAAAAAATTCATATTTACAAGTGTCTGTGAAGCCTTTGACTTATTTTAGCATGGCCTCTTTTAAGATGAACTATTAGGGAACTAAAGAGAACGCTCTAGGTGACCTGAGACAATTCCTATTTAAAATCCATTTCTCCAAGGCCACTGCTAATTGATTTTTGAAACTTCTTTGCTGAAATAACCTCGGCCCACAGGCAATTGTACTTCAATCATTTCTTATTCCAGTTGAAAATAATAGGATTTTGTATAGAAAATAATGGTATAGTTTTTGTTGTTGTTGTTTGTTTGGTTGGTTTTTTTTAGTCAAAGTCTTATCTGTCAACCAGGCTGGAGTGCAGTGGCATGCTCACGGCCACTGCAGCCTCAACCTCCTGGGCTCAGGTGATCCTTCTGCCTCAGCCTCCCAAGTAGCTGGAACCAGTAGCCACCACACCCAGCTAATTTTTTTATTTATTGTAGAGATGAGGTCACGCCATGTTACCCAGGCTGGTCTCGAACCCCTGGGCTCAGGCAATCCTCTCGCCTCTGCTTCCCAAAGTGCTGGGATTATAGGCGTGAGCCACCATGCCTGGCAGTATGGTTATTAAAAGTATCTAAAATAACAAATAATTGTAAAAAAATGTTTTTATTTAAAGTGATTAAAGCAATATTAATGTTCAGAATATTCCTTCATACACATTTTGCCCAAAATAGCATGTTAAATAAACAAAAGTCATTACAGTCTTTCTGGAATGTCATCCAGGGAAAGAAGCACAACACTGGCAAGAGATCACTGAGATCGCACTTTTATCTCTCCCATCATCACCTCCGTGACTTTGGCCAATCACTTAACCTTCCTAAACTACAGTTTCCTTGTTCATGAAATGGACAGTCATTTCAGAGTGCCTTCAAAATAGCAAACTCGATTGAACAGTAAACTACAACTATTAGTAGGAGATAGCCCTGAGCCAATTTCTTACAAGTTAGTTTGCCAAAAGCAAATTCAATAAAATGCCAGTTCACCAGATTCCACTCTCCTTTTCCTTATTTACAAATGTAAAGTGATTGTCACTGGATATGTTGCTTTTCACAGCCTCTGGAAATTTTTGTGAGGTTTCAGTTGATAGTTTTTTTTCCCCTTCGCTTCATGACAGCATTTGAAGGAAAGCCCAGTCTGTCTTTGCTTTAGCCCCTGCCAGTAAGCAAATGTCAAGAGGACGCTCTGATGAGGAACGAAGGAGCAGAGTCAGCACACAGCCAAAAAGGATGGGCACAGACTAGAGGCATGAGATTATGGCCATAAGGACTCTCCAAATTCAAGAAAAATATATTCAGCATTTTAAAATATGAGACAGATTGTGTATTTTTGAGAACTACTGGCATAATCTTGCCTCTTAGGGACCTTATTGTCCAATGGAAGAAACAAACTAAACACAAAACAGAAAATAAAAAATAATACAATTACAAATTGTGATAAGCCCTAAGAAAACAACAAAAAGGGTGTTCGGGCAGCAAAGAGCTGGAACCTGCTTTAGAAAAGGTTGTCAAGGGAGTTGTGGGGATCAAGAGAGCTTTTCCCAACCAGGCACGTGATAGCTTATCCCTTCCAGGCACGTGATAGGATGGCACAGCCGTGGTCTTTCTGAGGATTCCTGGGGTCATGGGGTGCAGTGAATAGACAGGAAATACATCACTTTTTTGCTGGAGCATTTGGTTGCTGTTGCAAGACCCTCTAGCTCCCTTTCCCCATGGCATTCCGACTGATAATATGGTTCAAGATGTGCCTCCTTCAGCCTGGACCCGGTGTGACTTCAAAGAACAGAGACCCTCATCAAACCCACAATGGACATGTAGCATGAGCAAACAACAGACTTTCATTTCTTAAGCCACTGAGATATGGAAGCCATTTGTTAATGCAGCATAACAGAATATCCTGACTATTGTCAGAGGAATCTCTGAAGAGAAAGAGTATGATGTATAGAGGCTTTAAGACAAGAAACCTTAAGCTTGGCTGGTTCACAGAATTGAGAGAAGGCCAATATGGCTAGATTATAGCAAAGCAGGAAAAAGTAGCAAATTGTCTTTAGAGTTCCCTTCTACTTTAGGCTGCCTGCCTCTTAGGCAGTTCTGATGTTTGTATTCCTGGCAATGCTTTAAGACAGATTAAGTAGCTTGACTCTAAATACTTTTGATTTGTTTACACAAATCAAACTCTCATATTTTATCTCTTGCCTGTGGATTATGATCATTTTTATCAAGAACTTTGCATGTGGGCTATTGATATGATAATGCAATCTCAAAGCCTTCTCAGAAGCTAAGGGCCTCTATCTTTTCAGTTGATAAGGGATGCACTTGGGTATATAGGCCAGTCATAGCTGAGCCTTGGGATGGGCAGCTCACAGGATTTGGCAATTGAATAATGTGCAATTTTTAAGCTCTTGCCTTTGCATATCAATTACTAATAGTCTGGTAACAGAATCTAGAGAAAAGCCCAAACTTTTATGGGATTTATCATAGCCCCTTTAATGTTTATGTAGGAGAGATTGTCTTTTGCACTTAAGATCTTGTTTGCAAACAAAACAAAACAAAACCCCCTAGCAGGAAGCATATCTCATGCTATGTAATTTATCTTCTCTGGAAGAAAAGAAGAGCTGATTCAGCCCTCTTGAGATTTTGACAACTAAGGTATTTTTTTTTATCCTTGACACTGCTCAGATAGAGCCACTGATATTATAACTGCCTTTATTGAAGTTTGGTAGATTTAGAGGAAGTACATCTGCCTGTTATTACAGTAATTCTTGTACAGTTCTTAAAATCTTAAGGATTTTTGAGATGAATGAAATGTCGCTAAAGAAAAAGAAAGCAGGAAAAGGGAAGGGAAATGGATCTAAAATTAAAATTGTGTCCTTAATGTAGTCCAAGCTCAGTGTGAGCTAGTTTTATATGCATTATTATCCCCATGGTGGAGCAAGTAGCTTAGAGAGGTTATGATCACCCAGTCAATGAGTCACAGACCAAGGAAGAGACAGAGCTCTCCTCCCTACCAAAGAAAAGACCTTGTTCTTATCTCTCTACTTTTTAGACTAGAGTGTAAAGTCTCCAATACCATCACCATGGTCAAATTAAAAATGGTCAAATCTTGCATTCCAAATCCTGCATTTCTAAAATGGCCAAATCCTGCATTTCAAAAATGTAAAGTTATCCTCTCAAAGATAAATACTAGTCATTGTATATTGATTTATTACATGTATAGATTCAGAAGAGCCTCTAAACAGAGCTGGTTATTACAAAGCTGTGCTCTGATAATTGTGCATCTTTCCTTCGTTCAGCCTTATCCTGTGTAATTAGCACAGTCTTGAAAATAGAAGTTTTCCATGACATTAGAATTCTTACATAGCACACCCTCTAATTATTTCATATCTTCACATTAGGGACTAAGATACTCATGGTGAAAGGTGGAATTCTGTTTGTTATTTAATTACTTATAGAAGGAAAACAGGAAAACCAAGAAAAAGAGATTATTAAAATAATTTCTACTTGACTCTGAGATGCATACACATAGACCAAGACACAGGCATATTTTTTTTCCCACACTCTCATGTCGACCTGGCTTCGACCTCATCTCTTTTTGTACCAGTCTTAGTTACACTTGTTACCATCTCTTCCTGTCAAGGACTTACCTATTCTTCAAGTCCCACCTCCAAAGGCCCTTCTAAAGGTCCATAGTTAAAATTAAGCCCCCTCTTCCCATACCCTAGGATGCTTTGTCCTGATCTTACAGCATCTCTCTGCCTTGTGCTATAAGTTGAGGGAGGGACAGAGACTACTGGTGATTCACTCAGATATGTTTCCTCTGTTTTCTTCCTGGACACAAAGATAGACAGCATTTTCTTGCCTTCCTTAGAGTTGGGCATGACCATGTAATGCATATCTAGCATTGGGAAGTAAGTAGAAGTGACATGCTTCATTTGAAGACCTGGGTTTGGAGGAAGTGAGGATGCCTAACCTATGCTCTTTACTGCCAGTGAGAAAACTCTGAGACCCTTGGTTGAGGGTGAAGAAACACTGAGCTCCTGAATCACCCAGTAAAAAGTTGTGTGGTCAAGCAGCAACACCCTGTTTAGGTTATTACACAAATAAAATATGATCATCTACTGTGTTAAGGCTTGGAAATTGAAGGCTTATTTGTTACAGCTACTAATGTAGATGTACCTAACACAGAGTGCGCATGTTTATAAATGGATGCCTGTGTGTGAGTGATTCCTTCTATTTTAGACGCCCCAGAAGGACTGGGACTAAAAAAATTATCCTTAACTGTGTGTAAAATTAAACTGAATTGGTGCCTCATTTGGAAGTGGAGCAGATGGCCATTAAAATGAAGAGTGCAGGAGACTCTAAAACATCTTCAATATTGGGAATGCCATTTCCTCATTTGCAAGCAGCTGTCTAGAATTTTGTAAACAATCTCATAGGTGACTAATTTGGAATAGAGAACAAAAGGAATACCCAGTTAGTTTCCATATTAAAATGTGTCCTAATTCATTACTCATTCAAATATTCTGTTTTTCAATCAACAAGTACATACTAAACACAATCTACATGCCCAGCAGTCCTCTAACAGTGCTGATCAATCACAGACCTGGATTGAAATGAACCCTAGTTCATTCCAAGTGCACAGTCCAACTGGGGAGCCAAGTATCCACTAAGTCATCACACTGTTGAATATGCACTTAACTTACACCCAGGTTCAGGTCCCCCTTTTGCAAAATAATGATGATTA